TTGAACATTTTTTGTATACATTTTTATTGATTTTAGAGAAAGAGGAAGGGAGAAGGATAGATAGAAACATCAAAGAGAGAGAAACATCATCGATTGATTGCCTCCTGCACACCCCCCCATTGGGGATTGAGCCCTCAACCCGGGCATGTGCCCTGATTGGTGATCTATGCTCAACCACTAAGCCACATTGGTGGCTAGCAGCCATTTTTAAAAATGTCTTTAATTTTAGAGCTAGCAGCATTTAAAACCTTAACATGGAGTGGTTGATAGAGCTCTTTTTTTCTTTTTGCTGCTTCTAGTTCTGTACAAGCAGGAATGTTTTATTTTCTCTGTATTAATATAAATAAAAACAATGTCTGTAGTAAAGTTTCTGTGATAAAGAAGATGTGTGGTATAGGGCATAGAAAGGCTGTGATTCAAGAGACTTGAGTTCTAAATCTAGCTCTGATCCTCATAGTGGTAGTTTTTGGTGACCTTGGTAAATAATGTGTCCTTTGGGGCCTTAATAGTTTCACCCCTGAAATGAGTGGTTTGGAACTTCGGATTTAAGATAGTGGATTACACACCTAAACAAGAACAAGAGGACAGTAATCGGTGGATGAGAGCCTTTAACCAGTTTCTGAAATATGATAAGTAATTAGAAACTTGTGCAGATAAAACAGCAGAGGAAGAGAGACTAAGTGGATGGGACATTTGCAACAAGGAAGAGAGCCTGTCTGTAGGAGAGCACCAAAGAGGCGCTGGGTACAGTGATGACAGATACAGCAATGAAGGTGAAACCAAATAGGGGTGTTAATTAAAGTGCATCTCTGAAACATTGTGTCGGTTGGCTCTTAACATCCTTATCCTCACTCCAAACCCAGTGTTCAGCATTTGCCCTAGAGAATGTGTAGGTGAGTGAAGAAGTATTAGGCCAGGATTTGTGGAAGGACCGAAGTCTAAAGAAGGGAGCCAGGATTTGGGCTGTCTTTCCCAGAGGGCAATTGAAAATTCGGCAGTGGGCACTGCGAGATTGAGTGGTGCTTTGGACTATCTGTGTGGTGTGGAGACAGGATTTGAGAGAACACAACATGTAACACAAGACAGTCTAAAGGGGTGCAGTGAACTTCCTTTGCTTTGAATTGGGACCAATAAAAGGCTGCATCCTAGAAATAAGAATGAGCCAGAGAGAAAGAGGCGCTTGCGGGTACTACCACTCAGCTTCAAATCTTCTCACTTGTGAACTTGAACTTAAGGTGACCTCCAGCAGAAGTAAATGTAAATTCTCTCTGGAGGAAGATAGCATCATACTACATATCAAATTATTTCTTGATGGCGAACCGTTTACTAAGTGCGAGCTTCAGCACAAAGACAAGGAGATAGACAACAGCACAAACAACAGAGAAAAGAACCAGATCCACAGGGGTACGGGTATTATTGGATCCAAACTTTGAAATAGATATGATGTTATGTTCAGGATGGTAAGATGAAAAGGCAAGATGAAAAAATTTTGATGGGAAACCGAAAACTTAAAAAAACTTAATAGAAATTTTAGAATTGAAAGATACAGTAACCCAATTATCAAGTTAATTGATAGGTTTAACAGCATATTAGACATAACTGAAGAGAGAATTAATGGTCTGAAAGATAGGTAGAAAAAAATAGAGTAAAGAGTAGAAAAATACTTAAGAGAAGATGTATTAGCTTTCTGTCGCTACATAACAAATTACCACAAACTTGTGGTTTAAAACAGCACCTAGTTCTGTAGACCAGAAATCTGTGGGCATGCCAGGTTCCCTGCTCAGCATCACACAGCTGAGCAGGAGGTCGCCGGCCTGGGCTGTCAGCTGCAGGCTCTTGGGGAAGAATCTGCTCTCAGGTTATTGGCAGCTGTATGCCTGAGCCCCCAGTCCCTTGCTGTCTGTTAGCAGGGGCCACTCTGCTCCTGGAGACCCCACATTCCTTCTCACATGACCATTTAAAGGTAGCAATGTCACAGCTAGTCCTTCTCAAGAGTCAAATCTTTCTGACCCCTCTTCTCACCAGCCACAACAAACTTCTAAAGAGCTCTTGGATTAGATTAGCTCTCTTGCAGGACACAGGATCAGTATACAGAAAAATAATAATGAAATGCCTAGAAATTGGTAGAACAAACCACTTTGAAAAATAGCTTAGTATTATCTACTAAAGTAAAATATATGCAGTTCCACTGTTAGCTATCTACTCATCAAAAATGCATGCATGGAGGCTCAGAGCCATGTATGAGAATATTTATGACTGTGTTTTTTGTAATTCCTTGCAAACTGAAAATAGCAGCAGTATGTCATATAGTCATGTAAAGGAATATACAGCAATGATGCAGAATGAATTATAGCTGTGCAAAGCAACAGTGGATGAATCTCACAAATATAATATTGAGTGAAAGAAGTCAGACACAGATGATTTCAAAATCCAGGCTAAAATAAACCATGGGGTGGGGCTCAAAGATGCATGTTTAACTGGTAAAAGCAAGCAGTGATTATCATAAAAGTCAAAGCAGTTAGGGGAAGGGAGGGGCAGTGATCAGTAGGAGGTTTGGGGCGCTTCAGGAATGCTGACAAAACATGCTGTTTGTGATAAACCATTGAGTAAAGGAACAAAAAAGGAAGCGAAGGAATGATATCAGACTGGCATAATCTTGTCTCCAATAGTACTTAAATCTGGGGAGATCCGGGAGAAAATTTGTTTTGGATTTAGAAGACAAGCTCTCATGGAAGATTATCTCCCGTCGCCTTTTCCTGAGGAAATGTCTTGAGGATGTTTTCTAAGAAAGAGAACACAACATGTAACACAAGACACAGTGGAGGTCATTGAGAAGTCCCAGGTGATAGCTGTGCAGCAGGCCTTGAAAGAAACTCAAGACAATGTCTTCAGAAAGAATGGAATAGATTCCAAACAATAGATAATGTGAGTGATAAGGTAGGAAGTACTGGTAATAGGCTTTAAAAGGTATGTTTTTCTTCTCTTAATAAGGAAAAAACACATGTATTAGAAATGTACAGTGGAAACGCTAAAAAAGTTCATGGTCTAAATATAAAACAGATTTAAAAGAACATGATGTTTGAGCAATTGGTAGAATGTAAGAAAAGAGATCCATTTGACCTCAATGCTGGAAACAATCTCACTCTTTTATGACCAGCAACAAGTCATGTGCTCTTTAGAAAATGAAATGTAATCCCAGCTCTGCAGTCAGTAATACTTATATGCACATACTCTGTCTTGATTTTCAGCTTTCAGTCACATCCTAAGTAAGAAACACGGAAGACTTAGTTGAGAAGTCATAGAGTGTGTTATCAGGCTTGACCGAGTAAGGAGTTTGGAGGGAAGAGAGAAGAGAGTTGGAGGAAAAAGGACATGAATATAATAATCTAATTTTACATATGGGGGAGTGAAGAGGGTTCTTTGGAAGTTGATGGAGCATAAGTTTGGAAATGTTATTTAAAGTTCATGGATAATCAAGGGAAAGTTAAAAATAACGAGAGCAAAAAACTAGGAGGAGTTGAGGTTTCAATAAGTGACCAAGTTATCAGTTTTTATAATGGGAAGTGAATAGATAATTTCTAAAGTTTATAAATGAGGAAATAGTAATAAAAGTATGTTCTTGGAGTTGAAAAGTAACTGCAAGAAGTAAAACCTGGAAGGTAGTCACTCATAGAGTGGGGAAGTATGTGTCTGCTGAGATGCTCAGAATTGGTCTATTTGGCTCATTTTGGACAAAAACTATTGAGGCCAAAAAAGATGTGTTTGTTTTTCACATTCCTAGACAGAAATATATGTAGGTACAAATGCATATGTATGTAGTATAATAGTACATTAATTAATGATTCACTTCACAAATGGATTTCTTTAACATTTTATAATTTATATGAATGGTACAGTTACATATGAACATGTGAATTTACATATGTGTAAACATGTACACATAATGTGAACAGAATTAGATAAGAAAAAGAATTCCAAAGTGACACAAAATTTCTAATCATTCTTAACCAAATGCTGTTCTCGCCTTAAATTTAAAAACAGGTTGAGTTAAGTTAGGGTTGTTTGGCAGAAAACATTATTCACAGGAGTGACTAAGTATAAGCCATGCTATAAACTGAAGAGGATAAAGACACAGAAACAATGTTTTAGGCAGTGCCTGGGTTTGCAGGTGGTCTTTAGCAGCTGTGAGCCCCTGGAGGGTAGCCGAAGGATAATAACATGAATGTACTATTCGTACTTGTTTGAAATTAGTTCAAAATGTGCAATCAGGCTACTCAGGTTTTTCTATTTTTCTGGAAGAAAATGAACCATAAATTTTAACTAGGAACTTGGGATGCTGGAAACACAGGCTCTGGAAGATTCTATTCTTACTACCCTAGTATGACGTGGTGTTTCTAGTGGAATTTTATACGTAGCGATTGTTTACATTAGAGTTTTGTATCTTGGGGATTTTACCCTGAGCTGAGATTTTGGTTTCTGTTTTCTTTTTAGATTATTTCGTCTGGAAAAAACATAATCAAAACTTAGATTTATTATATTCTTCCATGAGCTCAACTATTTCCTCCTCTTTGTTGCTCCAAATTATACTTACATTTTATCCTGTGATAATCAGTGACTTTCCCCCCACTTACTGGCATGTTTAAACTGAAGATTTCATTTCTTGACCTGTATTACATGCTGTATGTTAAATTACTTGGTTCTGAATATAATAATCTCAACTAATGCAATGAAGTCAACATGCCCGGGATGGCTAACCCCCATCCCACCTGCAGTGGCCTCGGCCGCACCTCTGCAGAGGAGTCCATGCAGCCTGCACCTCAGCCAGCTCCCCGGCTCTGCAGGTGCACAAGCACCTCACGTGGAAGCAAGCAGGAAGATTTTTCTTATTGTTACTCAGTTAAAAGGATTGTACTTAGACTGTACATTTTGCATTTCTATATTTTCCAAAATTATTCTAATGGGTTGCTTATTATAGCACTTATTCTATTTCCTAATTTTAGTGCTGCTTTTGATACAGTTCTTGGGATAAATGTTGCAGTCAAGAAACTCAGCCGGCCTTTTCAAAATCAAACGCATGCAAAGAGAGCTTATCGTGAACTCGTGCTCCTGAAATGTGTCAATCATAAAAATGTGAGTTACGTGTATTTCCTCAGTGTATGTGAATGTTGTCAGTGACGTGGTAATCTTGTGAGTCACACTGAGTTCAGACCTAGAGTAACCTAATGATTAATATAACTATTTAAATGGTTATAGTTTATTGATAAAATTCTTCTCAACATTTGGGAAATTGAAGTCAGCAAGAGGCATCAGGTCCATAGGAACTTAGGTCAATCAGCAGGGATAGGAATGTCCGTTAACCCTGTTTCAATACGGTGATATCAGCACTGACCTAGCAAATTGAGAAACAGCTAAATATTTATAAAACATTCTATAAGTAGCTTTTTACCTCATAATACAGACATTCCAGTTTTAAAAAAATGTTAGATGATGTTATATTTATGATAGCTGTGCTTGGCATCTCCACAGAAATCAAAGCACTGTACATTTTAAGGAGAAAAAGCCTCTCTAGAAAAGGTTTATATTCCATTCTTGGTCTCTGAGCATCTTTTATACCCTTACCACATTATAAACCCACCAAATGTTCAGTCTGGAAGAGCCTTTGGAGATGCCCCATGTGAGCTGACCTCTTTTTGTTAGGATTGGGAGGTGGTGATTAAGATGACACTTAACTCTATATAGCTCCCTTCCTTTTAACACTTATTCTGGGTCTTTCTGGCATGCACAACTGAGATAGTTTTTCTTCTGAGTCTGTGCTTTGAGTTTTTAATTTTTTCGATACATGCTTTATTTTACTTATTTGTTTTTAAAAATTATTTTCAGGTTACAAAAAAGTATGGTTTTTTTTTTTTTTAATTCAAACAATGTAAACAAGAAAGTGAAAATCCTTGATTACCACCCACAGATCACTGTCATTAACATTTGGTGAGCATCCTCATGCATATGTGAACATACACACACTCTTAAACAAGATCAGCTGTGCTATCATGCATCCTGCTTTTTCCCTCTTGGAAAGTTGCTAGGTCTCATACACATTAGGAACATAGATATAATCCATTTTAAGATAGCTGCATAGTACAGATGCGCAGTAATTTATTTGACCAATCATCTGTTATTGAATAGTTAGGTGGTCTCCATTTTTCCCTTATTATAGTACTACAGTGAACATCCTTCTCCACACATCTGTATACATTGTCCAGCTGAAATTTTTGACCAAGATTGTTGGGTCAGAGAGTATGCACACTTCTGACAAATTGACCTCAAGAAAGACTGTCAGTTTTACGCTTTCATTAAGAGCATCTGAGAATGCCTCTATTTCAAAATTCCCCTGCACTGCACACTACTGATCCTGTGTTTTACTTTACTAGTCTGACAGATGACAAATGAAATGTTATTTGTGAGGTTGAATATCTCTACTAGCCATTTATTTTTATTTCTTGAGAATTTTTATTCTATGCCCTTTGTTTTTTCCCCTCTTGAACTGTTGGTCTCTTATGGATTTACAGAAGATCTTTTGTATGTTAGAGCTATCAACCCTCCCTTTCCACTTGACCTTATTTAGGTTGTTGTTGCCCTACTGATTTTATTTTTGTTGGGTTGACTTCGGTTTTGGTTTAATGGTTTAAACCTCCTAGGTTCTCTGTCATGCTTAGAAAAGGCTTTTCTACACCATGATTATATAAATGTTTACCCATATTTTAATGTTTCATAGTTTCATGTTTTAGATTTAAATATTTGTTCCATTTCAAGTTTATCTTGGTATAAATAAGTTTGAAGTGTTGATCCAGTTTTCTTTTTTACTTGGCTAGCCAGCCACTCCACCCCAATTCTGTCTATACTGAATCATTTCCCTTTCCCACAGTCATTTGAAATGATTGAGGCTGTGTGTTTGATGCTTAAGCAGCCTTAGACTGCAGGACCAAAGCCTACAGTGGGGTCCATTCTAGAACACTCTTTAAGTAAATACATAATGCTACGAGGCATTTCATCTTTATCATACCAAAAATGCAAACGTAGCCTTCATTTAAAACCTTTTTAGAAATTTGTACATAGAATTTAAGTTTTCAGAGTTAATATATTGCTTTATTTAGGGTGGTGTTTTTCTCCACCATTTCTACTTTTTTATGTTCAGAGTTAGAAAGACATTTAATGTTAGAATTCTTTAATAATAAATTACGAGGAACACACAGAAGTGAATTATGAAAAGTACATTCTATTTTTTAAGGTAAGAATCCTAATCATTTAACTTTTTTCAAATACCATGTAGTATGTTTTTAGTAAAAATACTGAGCTCTGCTGTGATCCCCCCACCCCCCATTTTTGATATCTTAATGTTAAACTTAATTTTTAGTCATCTGAAATTCTGAAGTTTAAATAATTTTCTCTTTTCAGATAATTAGTTTGTTAAATGTGTTTACACCACAAAAAACTCTAGAAGAATTTCAAGATGTGTAAGTACCATTTTTATTCAGTAATGTACTATGCATCAAAGACTGAATATTTAGAAAAGAAAATAACTGCATATTTGTTTGTTTTTTTACTTAGGAAAGTAACTGCTTTTTTTTTTTTACTTAGGATGACAATACATTTTTAATTATATCTTAGCCACTTTTCTCTGTGGAAGAGAAATATTAAGAAATTGGATAATAATTGATAATAATATTCAGCTATTTTTATACCAGATAAAAAATAACTGGAAATAATTCTTCAGAGCAGACAGTGGCCATTAATGCTAGTAATTTGCTTTACTGAAATAGAAAACATTTTCTATAGTACCTTGAAAGCCAGGATTATAAGGTTCAGGTGTTTACAGTTATTATTTGAAATGGTTAAATTATTGGATATTGTGTGTTTCCAAAATCTGAAATAGAATTATCTTACTAACAATGAAATGAAATATTTATTATATTGAGATATAATACCCAACATTATCCTAAATTTATTGTATTCACTCATTCAACAAATATTTGATGGCTAGCCCTCTCTTGGATTAGACATACCTTAGTGATCAAAACAAACAAAAATCCTTTTATTATTTAAGAATTGCTGGTGAGCATTCTCCTTCCTAGAGCTTGCAGGAAAGCCTGGGAAATGAGATAATCAACATAAGAAATCAGGAAATGATGTCATTCTTTAGGACGAGGCCAGTGCTGTGGGAGAAGTGGAGCTGCGTGTGGGGGTCTGAGTGCTGGGTGTCAGGAGTCAGGTTGCAGTTTTAAGTGGGATGTTTGGGGTTGGAGAAAGACCTGCCTGGATTGGTGAAGTTTGAAGAAAGGCTTGAAGGAGGTAAGAAGGTTAGTCTGCAGAAATCTACAGGAAGAATGAATGAAATGGAAGGAATAGGCAGCACAAAGCAGTAGACGTGGGAGGATGGATGATGTGCTCAAGAACAGCAAGAGGCCAGTGTGGCTGGAGCTCAAACAGCAGAGGAAAGAGGAAGTCTATTGTAAGGATTTCCTTTTATTCTAAGGCACTTCAATAAGACTTTGATCGGAGGAGTGAGCTCACCTGACTTTCATTTTAAAAGAATAATTGGTTTCTGGGTTGAGAATCCGCCATAAGATGTGGGGATCCAGAAGACCAGTTGGGAGGTGATCGTATAGTTCAGGTGAGAGGTCCTGGTGCTTACTTAGACCAGAAGGGAATGATGAGGGGGCTGAAACTGTCTTGAAGGTAGAACCACGATGTTTGCGGAGGGTGATGCCTGGAATTCTGCCTGATTCCCTGAAGGTGAAAGTGCTCTCACCGGAGACGAGGAAGGCTACAGGGAGAGGTATCAGAGGCAGGGTGGGATCAGGAGCTGATTTTTGGACATGACTTGGAGTTGTCTGTTGGACACCCAAATGGAACTGTGCAGTGGGAAGTTAGGATAGAGGTCTGAGTTGAAGGTAAGAATTTGTAGGTGATGGTCTTGAAACCAGAGGCCAGAGAAGATCACCCAGACGGTGACAGAGACAGAAGGGCAGGAAGTGAGCGGGAGCACTCCAAAAGGAAGAAGCTGGGGCGAGGAGGGCACTGGCAGCTGGGGTTTCGCAACAGGGAAGTCTGGGGCCTTGAGGACAGTGTCCGCAGAGAGATGAGGGCAAAAGCCTGAGCAAGTGGGATTAGGATAAAACGGGAAAAGAATTGGAAATGGTGAGTATAGACACCTCTTTGGGGAGTTTTGCTTACAAAGGGGATAAAGATAAGGGCGGAAGATGCTAGGGGAAGTGAGGTGAAGTTATTTTATTAAAAAGTTATTCCCAATTTCAGATGACATACAATGTTATATTAATCTTAGGTATATAACATAGAATCAGACATTTATATACCTCATGAGTAATGACCCTGCCCACCTGGCACCCTATCTAGTTATTGAAATATTATTGACCATTTTCCTTTTATATCAAGTTTCCTTAAGATGAGAGAAATAATAGCATGGCTTCTAGACTGATAAGAATGATTCCATAGCAAAAAAAATTAAGATGTAGGAGAAGTAGGATGTTTGAGATTCTATTTACTATGATATATATAAATTGTTTTATTTTTAACTTGAAAAACATTAGTTTAAAAAAAAAAACTCTTATAAAGTTCCATTATATGTTTACTGCAAGATAACTTATAAAATGTTTAGAGAAAAACAAATTATTGTTTTACCTCAGCCAGTACATTGAGTAGGTAGTAAGTTATTACTGTTTCATAAAAATTCTGGTTTAATATCCACAAAGGAATTTTGGATGCTTTTCATGTGTACATGGCTGGTCTTTTTCCCCCTCAGGTATTTAGTTATGGAATTAATGGATGCTAACTTATGTCAGGTTATTCATATGGAGTTGGACCATGAGAGAATGTCCTATCTTCTTTACCAGATGCTCTGTGGTATTAAACACCTTCATTCAGCCGGTATCATTCATCGAGTAAGTAGTGATGCCATATTAATTTTATTTTAAAAATCATAATAATTTTGTTGCCAGAATCCTCCAGATCAATTTTTTTTTTAATTTGTCAGTGTTGAAAATCCAAATAAAGTATAAGGTTGTGTTGAGTTTCCAAACATTGTTAGATCAGAAGACATCTGGGGAACGCCTGGTTGGCCAGGTGCTCAGCTGGATTCCGCAGAAGAGCAGGACAAAGAACTCCCTGGTACTGTTTATCACCTGGTGTTGGTATTTTTGCCATATTTGAAATCCCATTTTTAGTGAATCAAGGGATTAGATTTGGGGTGGGAGAAATTGGAGACCAAGTGGAAAATAATATAGTATTTGTTTGAGAAATCTTACATGAATTATAACCTAAACATTTGTTTCTCCTATTGTAAAATTCTGCCATCCAGCATCCTGGCCCTACTGGAGGAGCTTCTGGAATGGCCTGTGATGGGCCTCTGGACTGCATTAAGACTGGGATTTGAATGACAGATTCCTGTACTATTGGGAAGATACAATGTAATACTCTAAGCTAGTTGTATGAGTTTTTACTTTTTTTTTTTTAATTTGAACTACTGTATGAATAGAACATCATGATAGAATTTTTTGAAACAACTAAAATGTTGAGTGAGATTAGAGGCAGAAATAATGTAATTTTATTGGGATAATTCATAGCATTCTCTGAATTATTACCATACTAATATTGTTCACAGATTATTTTTAGGTACTGTGTTTCAACATCAATAAGTTATTTTCTTGGAACTAAATCTGTATGGAGGGGAAGATAGTGAGACAAGAACAATGCAGCCTATTGGTAACAGAAAAGTAGATTTCCAGTGACATAGCAGATCCATCAGGTGCCAGGAGAGGTTGATTCCATCACAGCTGCTGAATGAAGGTCTCCGTGGGCTCAGCCCTTGCCCCTTTCATGAACCTCAGGTCTGCCGCCCGAGGCCAGGAGGCGGGCGGCATCCATGGCCTGACCTGTTGGCTCCAGACCAGTGAGTTGTTACAGCCTTTGCTGCCACCAAGTGTTCAGTTACAATAATACAAATTCTGCAGACAAATTTGCTTTAAAATAGTAATTTTTTAAAAATTAAAAATGAAGATTTCCCAACATACTGTTCTATTTCCCTTTCTAAAATTTTCAGAGTTTTATATAAACTAAGACACTTTTAATGTCTTCTAAGTTCATCTTATATTAAATTCACACTTTAGTAAGTGCCAGATTCTGTGAAGCCTTATAACTGTGTAAAGGGAAACGGTTTGCCGTGTTTGTCCATTCCCTCCGGAACCCGGAGGTTCACAGGCAGCGGCTCTCCCGGCACCTGGTAAGAGCGGCAGCCGGCACAGTGTGACCTTCCTGGCCGTGGCCTGTGTACAGGGTCACTGCACGGATACACACTTGCAGTTTTGCTCATGAAGATAGTTTTGTACTTCGCATAAAATGTTAATTATTTAAAATAAAACACCCACAATCTCACCACTTTCTACTTTATATAATTCAAGAAATTAAAAGAAATGAGAGTCCCCCAGCTCTCCACTGCCACCTGGAGGTGGCCGGTGAGCAACGGGGATGTCTCCTTCACTTTCCAAGGACACAGACTCTACTTAAGCTGATTCCAGCGTGTCTGTTTATTCTTATGTCCTTTTAACTTACATTTTTTAAAAACAAGATCCTCTCGTACATAATTGTCCTGCAACTTGCTGAAGGAGCTTGTTGATTTGTTTTTTATTTAATCGGGATCAAATAGTTCTACAAATATTTATTTACAAAGCAGAGACCCCAACTCCTCCCTCTTACTTCTCTCTCCTCAGAAGCAAACTTTTTCAGTTCTTTTAGTGTTCATTTCCTTTTCTTGAAATATATGATTAGATCTCTGTTTGATGATCTTTTTTGATTCGGGGCTTAAGGTACTGACTTAGTTCTTTCACCTTCCACAACCCTTACCTATCCTGTTCTGCAGTGTAATTGGGTTTGGGACAGTATCCATATTGTGTTTTATGTTATTGTGACTTGTCAGTGCTTTTCACAAGCTGGGCCTCTCACCAGTGGTCTGTTGGTCTTGAGTCTGAAGCCGTGTCTGGAGAGTTTGTTTCTGTTTATCAGATAATGAGCCAGTGGGAGTGAGGAAGGAGCAGAAGCCGCTCTTGGAGAAGCTTACTTTTCCCTGCCCAGTGTCTCCCTTCCTGCGTCACCCTGCCCTGCCCGGGACCTGTCGCTCACTTCCCGAGCCGTCCAGGGCGCTGGTCCCGTGCGGGCCACTCATACTCGCCTGGTGGCTGCCCGGGAGGCCACGCTTACTGGACATCCCTACACTGTGGGGGTCAGGCCCCCAGTTCCGGTGTCATTTGTATTTTGACGTGTGTTTCTGTTTTCCTTGTTTTGGATGGTTTTAAATTTTAAAGAGGCAGAACTGCCTTTACTCTGCTGCCTTGAAACTGAAGTCCAGTCTGTTGGAAAGCTGCCGCTGGCGGAGCGTGGAGCTAATGAGAGGGGGTAGTTGTGGACGTGAGGAGCCCTCCAGGGCCTGGGACTTCTTTAAAGCGCTCCAACTGTCCATGCCATCTTCATTTTACCAGCATTCTCCAGCAGATGGCAGTAAAGTGTGTTGTTTCCCTCACCCCTCTCTTGTCCCTGCGCGTGCCCCCACAAAAAAAAAAAAAAAAAAAATCAGTACCAGATGACAAAGTTCTGATTGGAGAAAGTGGCCGGAGGTGTCCTGGTTTCCACTTCACTCAGTGCAGGCTGGCGGCGCTGTTCTGGTCTTACTCATTCATGCGGCTCTTGCTTTAGTTCAGGGCCAGGTTGGATTGCAGGGGCTGCTGGATGGTAAAACAAAGACATTTCAATAAAAAAATCAGCCTCCTAAGAAAGCCCCGCCCTGTGTCCGGAGAGGTCCCCGCTCTGTGGATTCCTCTCCTCACCGCCCAGGAGAGACTAAAACTGCTGCCTCATCACTCAGCCCCTAAAAATACTTGTTTTGTGAAGCTGAGCATTATTTTATCTCTTAGTGACTTGTATTCTGAAATGCCTATTCCTGCCATATTCTTTGGTTCTTGAAAAAGGAAACTAGAAACAAATGGGTTTGTTTTGTTTCAGCTGCTTCCCCGGGGTCTGCTCGCAGGGCTGTGTGGCTGGGTGTGGCTCGCAGGGCCTGTGTGGCTGCGTCTCCCTGGCTGCCTCGTGCGGAGCAGTGGCTGTGGCCAGGGCAGCCACGCTCCCCAGGACACGCGGCGGACACGCAGGCTCTGGGACAGCTGGGGGCTGGGCCCTCTGCATAGGCTTGTTGGGAATTTCACTGCATTTATTAGAAATCATATGTTTGTCACTTCTGTTTTCCTGGATCGGGAAGTTTAGAGGGTATTTGACAGTAATGAAACGGAATGTTAGCTATTGTAGTTTTAAATGGTTCTCTACTTACAGCCACATTCTGAAGCCGCAGGTGCTGGTGGCTACACCTGGACAGCACGGGGCCAAGATTCCCTTGCCCCAGCATCTTCCCATGGCTCTTCCTTCCTTTGGTAAAATAATTTCATGATCACCAAGCCCCATCCCCTGCTCTGACTATGTGCTATAATTGGTGACAGTGCCAAAAATATATATATATATAAAATATCTCATTAATAATTCTTATGTTGGTTACATTTTGAAATGATAAATCACACTTCACAGTGTCATGTGCCCATTTGCGGCACATCGATTGGAAAATTCCAAGTCCGGTTCTGGACCTGAAGCTTCTCACTAAGTACTCCCAGGTCCTTGCGTGGGTGTGCCGGGGCAGTTTGATGTTGCAGCTGCATGTTGGAAGCTCTTGTGAGTAGAGTAGTTGTGGATTGTTCAGAAGTCACCGTGTCTACCGTGAGTCTGCAGGCTGGCATCCCGAGGCAAAAATAGATTCCTGTGGCCTGAGGAAGGCGCTGCATGTGGGAGATCAGCAGTAAGGAAGGCCTAGAGCTGAGGGAAAATGACAGAAGCCCACGAAAGCATTGAGAGCAGTGGGCAGGGGCATGTGTGTCCACTCGGCAGACTTTCTGTTCTCAGAGCAGAGCGCACGGCCTCCCCTCCCAGAGCCTGCCCTTGGCGGTGTGACAGCGCCACACAGCTGGGCGGGCGTGGCGGGTGGGGTGGGGTGGGGCTTGGTGATCATGGAATTCTTACCAAAGAAAGGAGGAGCCATGGGAAGATGCCAGGGCAAGGGAACCTTGGTCCTGGGCTGTCCAGGTGGTAGCGCCAGTCCCCTGAGGCTCAGAGTGGGGCTGTAATTGGATGTGGCAGTGCCACAAAAAGAACGTAAAATATCTCAATAATAATTCTCATGTTGGTTACATTTTGAAATGGTAAATAATACTGTCAGACAAACACAAAAAAGCTTTGGAGGCTTTGGCTAGAAATAAATGATAGATTTATTCAGGGGTCTTAGAGTTTGTACACTGGAAACACAGTGAGGCAAAAACCCAGAAGTGTTCTGAAGAATAAAAAAAAGTTAGGAGTACTTACAGTAAAAGTGCCTTCTGGAGAGAAGTCAGCCCTGCACTCTTAGCCCTAGGAGTGGTCAGGGCGGTGTCGGTCAGATGTCAGGCTGTCTGGATGATGGGTGCCAGGGGGTCTAGAGGATGGGAACCAGGGGTCTTGTCACATCGATGGTCTGGATAATAGATATCAGGTGATCTGGATATGTGGGTCCTTCAGGGGGTAATCAGAGTGTTATCTGGAGGTCTGGTGTCTGTCCAGATGTGTATCCAGGCATCAACTCAGGACTGGAAAGTTCAAAAAGTTTAGGTTCCCAGGCTACTTAAGAAGAACAAGAACATCATGTCTCCATCTTCATAATGTTAATAATTTTAGCAGCTTGGTTAAAGTGATTCCTTTTATATTCCCTACTTTCAATCTTTTCTCAATATTATGGATATATTGGATTAAGCAAAATGTATTATTAAAATTAATTTTACATGCTTCTATTCACTCTTTTTAAAAAAAAATTTTTTATTAAATTATTATCTTTGTACCGTTGTCCGCCCCTCCCTCCCATACATGCCCTCCCTCCCCAGTCTATTCACTCTCTTTAAGGTGGCTATGAGAAAATGACAATTATATCTGTTGGAGAGCAGGGAAGAGCCAGAGTGTTAGGAACTGAAGGATGACCAGGCATGGAGGGAGGAAGGGAGGAAAGGAGGGAGGGAGGGAGGAAGGGGAAGCCCTCTGAAGGGTTGTGGGTTTTTTGTTTGTTTTACTGAATTGCCAAAAATAATGAGATGGTAAAACATCTGAGCATGCACATTTCTTTCACATACAAAGTTTGATTAAGTACCAAGAACTACAGAAAGAATCCAAAAAGTGCACTGCAAACTGAATAAATTTCTTGGGATCTTAAAATAATCACCAGTCACACAATTTACCTTCTAAGGAAACTTACTTATGGGGACAGACTACTTTGGGAAGATAAATGTAAGAAGCAAGAGGAGGAAATTAAGGGAAATGACCACTACATATTGCAGGAGCAAAAACTGTTGAAAGCAGATTGTAAAACTAGTGCCCTGCTCCAAGGTCAACAACTTGAACAACCTTGCCCAGTCCCGGGTCAGGGAGGGACGCCAGGAAAGAGCTGTTAGCAGAGCTCCTGAGACTACTCAAGGAACATGTCTTTGTCCGAGGACCACATGCTTTGGGGCTTGTTCTGGAAACATGGGGCACGCCTGGAGCATGTAGACCAGCTACGTTCATGCATGCCCTGCATTCATTCCCTCGTCCCACTGAAGGTCCATGTTAATTTTAAGTCTCTCACTCCTTGCTAGAAACTTGGGGTTACTTCTTCTTTGCCAACCACAGGGAAACCCAATTGATTTTTCTTTTTTTTAAAATTTAATAAATCTTTATTGTTCAGATTATTACAATTGTTCCTCTTTTTTCCCTCCATAGATCCCTCCACCAGGTTCCTACTCCACCCTCTGCCCTTTCCCCACCCCCCACTGTCCTCACCCATAGGTGCACAGTTTTTGTTCAGTCTCTTTCCGCACTCCCCACTCTCCTTTTCCCCGAGAATCATCAGTTCACTCCTCTTCCATACCTCTGATTCTATTATATTCACCAGTTAATACTGTCCATCAGATTTTTTTATTCCCTTGGTTTTTAGATTCAGTTGTTGATAGTTACGTATTTGTTGTTCATAATTTTTATCTTTATCTTCTTCCTCTTCTTAAAGAATATCTTTCATCATTTCATATAATTCTGGTTTGGCAGTGATGAACTCCTTTAGCTTTTTTTTTTTTTTTTTTTTTTTTTGTGAAGCTCTTTATCTGGCCTTTAATTCATGATAGCATTGCTGGATAGAGTAATCTTGGTTGTAGGTTCTTTCTATTCATCACTTTGAATATTTCTTGCCATTCACGTCTGGCCTGCATGGTTTCTGTTGAGAAATCAGCTGACAATCATATGGGTGCTCCTTTATAGGTAACTACCTGCTTTTATCTTGCTGCTTTTAATATTCTCTCTTTCTCTTTTGCTCTTGGAATTTTAATTATGATGTGTCTTGATGTGGTCCTCTTTGGATTCCTCTTGTTTGAGACTCTCTGTGCTTCCTGGACTTGTAAGTATATTTCATCAGGTGGGGAAAGTTTTCTGTCACTATTTCTTCAAATAGGTTTTTAGTATCTTGCACTCTTTCTTCTTCTGAGACCCCCATAATTCTGATGTTAGTATGCTTGAAGTTGTCCCAGAGGTTTCTTACACTACCTTCAACTTTCTGGATTCTCTTCTCTTCTTGCTTCTCCAGAGGAGTGTCCTCTGGCTCTTTGTGTTCCAAATCTTTGACTTGATTCTTGCAATCTTCCAGGCTGTTTTTAGGACTCTGTATAATATTTTTTATTTCAGACAATGTATTCTTTATTTCTAGTTGATCCCTTTTCATATCCTCAAAGGTCTCATTTATTTTATCGAACTTTTTTAGGAAATTCTTGAAAAACCTTATAACAGTGATTTTTTAACTCAAAGTCCATTTTTTTACTTTCCTCCATTTCCTTCCTTTGTGTCCTGCCTCTTCTTTGCATTTTAGCTGCTTTCCTGATTTGATGGAATAGTTTTGTGTGCTAGCTATCCTGGCAGAGCCCAGTAGCACAGCCTTCCCAGTTACCTGAGTTGGACAGTCTTGGTGTAGCCCTTTGTGAGCTATGTGTGCAATCTTGTTGTTAAGCCTTGCTTCTTGTTGGTATCACTGGGAAGCGTTGATCTCCAAGCCAGTTGGCTGTGAGGCTCAGCAGTGTCTCAGCTAGGAGGGCTTCTGTGCTCAGCTTGGATGGGGCGGAGTCTCAGGGTGGCGCAGACAAGCTTTGGTTTCCCATCAGCCCTGCCCTAAGAGGGTCCTGTTCTCCAAGTCCCGCGGCAATGGCTGCTGGCCACACGCACCTCTGAGAGAAGGCTGCTCTTGAGTTTCACCTGCTGTCTGACAGTCAGTTTCTCTCTGACCATAGATGGCTATCATCAGTGCAGTTGGGAGGTTTTATTTTTCTCCTGAACAAGAAAGCTAGCCACTGGGAGGGCTTCTGTGCTCAGCTTGGATGGGGCGGAGTCTCAGGGTGGTGCAGACAAGCTTTGGTTTCCCATCAGCCCCACCTTAAGAGGGTCATGTGCTCAGAGTCCCGCAGCAATGGCTTCTGGCCGCACACACCTCTGAGAGAAGGCTGCTCTCGAGTTTTGCCCACTCCCTGACAGCTCAATTTCTTCCCGGCCAGAGCTGTATCAGTACAATAGGGAGGTTTTGTTTTCCTCCTGAACGAGAAAGCTAGCCGTGCGTTAGCTGCCCGCCCTCTCTGTGTGCGCTGCGAGTAAGCCAGCAGCATATTCAGCTACCAGCCCTTTCCGTGCTCATGGATCTCTGCACCTCCACAACTCCTGAGGCTCAGCGTCCCTTTCTCTCTTTATTTTCTGGGTGATGTTCGCTGTTTTCCAGTTGTAATTTTAAAATTGTTGTGGTAGGCTGCATTTAGGTGTTTACCTCATGCCACCATTACATCTGAAAGTAATGAAGGATGACCCCTTATAGCCAGTGGCTAGATGTCTCTCCTTTGAGGCATCCCCTTAACATGGGGCTTCCATGATGGGAGACAGGAGGCTCCCCTGGACCATGGCTGAGCAGACCAGTCACTTCACAGGAAATGAGAACAAAGTCTTTCAGGACAATGAGTCAGAATTTCTGTTTAAAATGGTGCTCGTGCACAGGCATACAGGTATCCCAGACGCCCTAGCAACAGTCTGACAGCACATGATGCAGGCTGCTGGAACTTGCCATCGGATTAGAATGGAAAGGTATCTTAGAATTTTTAGGCAATTTTATATGGCAGCATAAGGTGTTCAGGGCCCTCTCTTGAAGATGCTGTTAAAACAAAACCCAAAATAACCACCTTGAGAGAACATGCACATTCTAAGAGGCCAAACATTTTCTCTGGGTGAAGGGATGACTTAACTCATGAAACTCAAGAAAACAATAAGAATTTCTTTGAATATATTCAGTGTATCAAGGGAAGGCATTTTCCTGTATGAAACCCTTTTCCCACCACAAAAAAACCCACTAAAGAACTGTACAGGGAAGGGCCCCGACGAGCACTGAGTGACAGGGCCCCCGCACGGCTGCAAGGTTGGAGGGGCCCAAAGCACCAGCCTCTTTTCTTTCTCAAATGTGACTACGGTGTTTCGGGCTGCATTACAGAACAGCCCCGCCTGGAGTGAAGCCAAAGCGTACCACACAAGCAGCGGTCAAAGCCAAGGTTCCCACCACACCCCTCTTCCAGGGGCTAGGCCCACTGAGGCCCGGCTTCGGCTGCCAGTGCTCCAGCGCAGTGTGCGAGCAAGTCTCTTGGGAGGCTCTCTTCATGGGAGTGTTTTGCTGTGAGATCCCTGTAGGGGTTTTAGTGCTGCGTGCACTGGGATTATGCCTGCATTTAGCCAAACAGTTCAATGCACAACCCGGAGGAGGCTGCCCCAGGAGGAGGCTGCCCCAGGAGGAGGCTGCCCCAGGAGGAGGCTGCCCCAGGAGGAGGCTGCCCCAGGAGGAGGCTGCCCCAGGAGGAGGCTGCCCCAGGAGGAGGCTGCCCCAGGAGGAGGCTGTCCCAGGAGGAGGCTGCCCCAGGAGGAGGCTGCCCCAGGAGGAGGCTGCCCCAGGAGGAGGCTGCCGCAGGAGGAGGCTGCCCCAGGAGGAGGCTGTCCCAGGAGGAGGCTGCCCCAGGAGGAGGCTGTCCCAGGAGGAGGCTGCCGCAGGAGGAGGCTGCAGCAGGAGGCGGCAGCGCTGGGCTCAGGCAGCAGGAAACGCAGTGCTCTCGGTGTGCAGTGCTGCTTGGTGGATGATGCTATAGCAGCCACCCACCAGCAAGTCCTTCCTCGTTTGTCCGTGACGAGGTGCTTCCCTGGAGTGGAATTCTGGCGCTGGCTGCTGGGCCGGGCGCTGTTGCCCATTTAAGCTGTGCTTTCCACAGAATGGGCCGGTCAAGGGCTTGAACCTGGGGAGGTTCCCATCTCACTGCCCTCTCCACATGGCGAGCCGGGCACACCGCGGCCTCAGGTTCTTGCCGGCACAGCATGGTGCAGGGTGTGGCTGTCGGGGCATCATGGGACAGGGCAGCATGGACCCTACCCGAGTGGCAGGCTCATTCCTCACACCGGGCACCAGCCCCTTGCCCCTCAGCCCGGCCAGCTTCCCTCTCAGAAAGTTTTAGTAAAGGTCATGAGCATTTCCACATGGGGATGAGGGCAACCACCTGACTTCTTCAGGCTTATTCGTATCGTTTCTGGTTGAGAATAGGATTTTCCAAAATTGTTCCAAATGTCAAGGTTCCATTCTAACTTGCCTCCCCTGCCAGCACTCATGCACCTCGGCAGTCACTGACCTCTCGGCTCCCTGCCAGCATGCAGTTGTTTCTTTACTGGTAGCGTGCTTTGGGCATTTTATTCACTTAAACCGTTTCTGTCCTAGGATTTGAAACCTAGCAACATCGTAGTAAAGTCAGACTGCACGCTTAAGATCCTGGACTTCGGCCTAGCCCGGACAGCCTGCACCAACTTCATGATGACCCCCTATGTGGTGACGCGGTATTACCGGGCGCCGGAAGTCATCCTGGGTATGGGCTACAAGGAGAACGGTGAGTGCAGATGGAACCGGAGGAGCTGAGATGTTTAAAATAATGCCGTTCGTCATCACAGTGTTGTCTCTTTTCTGTGATTATATGAAATACAATGTGGGGACTGTGTTACACACAGATTATCACAGTCCACAAATAAACAAACGTTACTTTTATATTCCTGTTAGTTAAAATCATTCACTTTTGAAGCTGAATGTTTATCAAAGTGTAACGTCCTTACAGAAAAGAATATAAATGGCAGGTGTGCACTCGCTGGGAGTGCACCCACACCCCCAGCACCACCCGGGCTCTCGGGGCCCTTCTGGCCTAGTCCCCACGGGAAGCTCTCTGCCTAACTTCCAGCACCACTGATGGTTTTACTTATTTTTTTAAAAAATATATTTTATTGATTTTTTACAGAGAGGAAGGGAGAGAGAGAGCTAGAAACGTCGATGAGAGAGAAACATCGACCAGCTGCCTCTTGCACACCCCCTACTGGGGATGTGCCCGCAACCAACGTACATGTCCTTGACCGGAATCAAACCTGGGACCTTTCAGTCCGCAGACCGACGCTCTACCGCTGTTTTACTTATTTTCGAACTTGATATAAATGGAATAATATATGTTCTTTTTTGCATAGAAAAGTTGCTTACTAGTAACATCAAATCTGTTTGACAGAGCTCTTTCAAACTTAGCTTTTGACAAATTCGCCAAAAAGAATGAAATCACACTTATTTGTTTTAAAAATCCTGAAAGTTCGCCCGGCCCTCTGAAGCAGACTTTGCCTCAGATTTATTTACATGTTCCATAAGCTGTGCTCCCACTGGACTCCGCTCTGGGGCTCTGTTTCCTGCGGAGGGAGAGAACGAGATTCCCGCTTACCCTCCCCAGCCCCCCCAGCAAGGACACTAGATAGCCCTTGCCCGGCTCAGCTGGCCCGCCAGGAGAGGGTGAGCAGCTGGAAGTCAGGGCGCCTGGCAGGCCTCCCCTGGAGCTCAGGAGAGCAAGCCTCCTCTGAGCGGTCCTGCAGTTTAGGAAAGGCCCCTTCAGGAGGCGGGTCGTGTTCCCAGCTGCGTTTGTCGCTGTGGGAGGGAGTGGAGGCGGATGTGGGTCTCTGCTGGCGTTAATCACCTGGTGTTTGGTAGTGGACATCTGGTCTGTCGGGTGCATCATGGCAGAAATGGTTCTCCATAAAGTCCTGTTCCCGGGAAGAGACTGTATCCTTCACACGGAGACCTGCACGGCCACAGGGCGGGCGGGTGTGGGCACAGGCACTTCTGCTGCTGGGGTTTTGTTTGTCTTTTCCGCTGTAAAGTATTGGGATCTTTGCCATTAAAACCCCAGGTTGCTGTGCACTGATGGCTACAATGGAGGCCTCCACCATTCACATTGTGTGAAGTTCACCCTTAGCAACTCATCCTGCCATGTCTGTGTGTGTAGTACACTGTTAGAATTCCTTTCCTCACCTTTGTTTTGTTCATGGCACTTTATAATTTTATCATTTCATTTTATTTTCAGTTGATATCTGGTCAGTGGGTTGCATCATGGGCGAGCTGGTGAAAGGTTGTGTGATATTCCAAGGCACTGACCGTATCCTTCCCGGACCTTCCGGCCATGCTCCCTTAAGCACACAGGCGGCCGGAGCTCCCAGGAAAACGCCATTGCTCCAGACTGGGCGTAAGGGCTGTCTGTGTCTGTGAAATTAGGGTCACAAACCAAGCGGTTCAGTTTACCTTCTCTTTTTTACTTGACTACCTTTCTTGATTTTATTGAGGCTCAGAGTTAAGTTTAACTAATTATATTAGTATAAAAAGTAGCTTATTAGAAATTTATTCACTATTTGATGAATATATTCTGATATAAATGAAAATGTTATTTATTTAGTTCATTCAGTTAATTTAACTAGGCAAGTTGCTGTCTAGATTTAATAGGTCAGGAAGTATGCCTGCATAATTTAACCTGTTAACCGGGAGTTCCCTTTTTAATGACGCAACCTGTAACGGGCGCGCACTCTTTCACTAGGACGTGTCAGTACGTCACGCCCAGAGGACATAATTTCATATTATTTTTTTTAGTTATACTTAATGAAAATAAATGAAATATATATATATATATTTTTTTTGTTGTTTATTTATATATATAAAGCACAAAGGAAAATGCAAAATTACCAAAAAAATAGAAAAGAATACCGACAAAAAAAATGAACACGTCGAATTAAAAAATTATAAATTTTACAAACAATGATAAAGATTACAAAAAATAGCCGAAACCGGTTTGGCTCAGTGGATAGAGCCTTCGGACCTAAACCAGTTAGGCCTTCAGACCTAAAGGTCCCGGGTTTGATTCCGGTCAAGGGCATGTACCTTGGTTGCCGGCACATCCTCAGTGGGGGGTGTGCAAGAGGCAGCTGATCGATGTTTCTCTCTCATCTCATCGATATTTCTAACTCTCTATCCCTCCCCTTTCCCTCCTCTCTATAAAAAATCAATAAAATATTTTTTTAAAAAAAAGGTTACAAAAAATATATACCGTTCCTCTCGGGGCGCAACATATATTTCAAGGACGTATTAATACGTCCTACCCGTTCCCAATATTGTTTACGTTTGACGTATTTATAAGTCCTGCTCGGTTAACAGGTTAATTAATATCCTATTTTGTTAGTTATTAGTATGCATTAAAATACTTTCCCCAAAGAACAGGAGCACACTACATAACAGCTAAATGAAAAAGATCAAAGTGAAAGTTGGTGAGGAACAACATATGGTGAATTTGTTTGTTACTCTGCTGACATTTTGTAGAAAATTTTTAAAAACCTGCTTAAAGGTATTTTTGAGACACTGGGAAGTCTAAAATAAATATAAAATGCAAAGATTAACTTATCCTGTGGTCAGGAAATCATATTAATACAAAGTAAATAGATAATATAGCTTCCTTTCCTCATATTCCTCATGTTCTTCCATCTCTAATATTTTTTATGCAAACATGGTTCTTCACATATGCCCTTTTTCATTTGTGTTCTAACCACTTAATATTTTCATTAATCTTTGATTTTGTTTTTTGTTATGAAATCTTTAAGTGTCTCTGTTCATTGGCAAATAGATGTTGTTGTTTTTTAAAGGAAATCAAGCTGTGTAGTCAGTGTTTGTATTTTGTTAATTTTCGTTTTTTATAATTTTATGAGGGCGGTTTTTTGTATTACAAATTATTCACAACTTGGAATGAAAAGGTTTTATTTCTGTCATTTACCATATCTCAGATGTTATGTGAGGTTAAATGCAGCATTTTATTTTGTTCTATAAATTTTTCTTCTAGTTTCTCATAATCTGCCTTAGATTCACTTGTTTTAAACTGTAAGAAAGGGGGTCAATTAAATAAAGTCAATTAAAAAGAGAAAAATTGATATACTCAAAAGATAAATAATTTAAAAGTATCTAATTAACATTCAGTTTGTCTCAATTCTCATTCATTTTTTGCCTTCCCTTTTTGTTTAAAATATATTTTTATTGATTTTAAACAGAGAGGAATTGAGAGGGATAGAGTTAGAAACATCGATGAGAGAGAAACATTGACCAGCTGCCTCTTGCACATCCCCCACTGGGGACGTGCCTGCAACCAAGGTACATGCCCTTGACCAGAATCGAACCCGGGACTTTTCAGTCCGCAGTCCGACGCTCTATCCACTGAGCCAAACCGGTTTCGGTTTTTTTTCCCTTTTTGTATTAAGAAATGTTTTCTTCAGAAAGTACAAAAATGAAAAATGTGAGTACTTTTTGGAGCATTAAGTAATTTAAAATTCCTACTTTACATATTAACATCTTACAGTGTCCACAATTAATAAGTGTATATAAGAGATTACCTAATGTAATTTTCAGAACACACATGGAGATTAACATCACTTTCAAAGATAATTTTGCCAGTTTTTCAAACATTAAAAATTACTGGGATAGAAATGATTCAGACAACTAGTCTGCAGTTCTTATAGATCTGCTTTAGATTTGTGACGTGCGGTAGAAAACTCCTGTCCCAGCACGGTCCATGAGAAAGAGAAAGCGTTAGCCGGGCCATGTTCTGACTCCCACATGGTGTCTGAATCCTGGAAGAGTCGGAGCCTCTCTGAGCCTCGGTTCCTCTGTGGTGAGAGCTCAGTGGTACCTTCACACACAGGATGTCAGCCAGGTTTTTGGGACTGGCCTCTGTCGCCTCTCCCTCTGTAGTCTATAGACATCAACTTAGGAGCGTTTGTTGAGCACCCACTCTCTCCTAGGCTATCAGCTGACTTAAAGTGGAAAAGGATGGCCGCCTGCTGAACTGAGGGTAGACCTGCAAGGTCAAGGGCTATCGCAAAGAAGCCACCAGATGGTAGGGGAGGCGGCTGAAACGCTGTATTTGTTTTGAAGGTCAGCCTTGTTAGGGTTCTGAGACATGTCAGACCCTGGAGATATCAAGAGCTGAGCTTGGGAGAGAGGTTTGGGCTGGAGAAACAAAGATGGACCGTCAGACTGCCATGCTGCGTAAAGGCAGGACACTGGTAGTGAGTGCTGAGAGGGATCCAAGGAGGAGGACCAGGCGCCCGGGTGGCAGAGAAAAGAGAAGCCGAGGAGGTAACAGGCCCTCCTAGGGAGAAGCCTCGAAGCCAGGGGAGTTGCTGCGGGGACGTGGGCGGCACTGTTAAAAAGGTAAGGGTTGGCAGTTGACCCTGGAGAGGGATGGCCACCGGCAGCCTGGCTGGGCTAGACTTCCTGGGGGGGATGGGGGAAAGCCTGACAAGAGGACAGTTAAGGTAGAGCAAGAGACTGGGAATCAGAGAGACAAGTATTGACAACTATTTTTTTTTTTTTTTAAGTGAAAATGGTAGCAAGCTCCAGATGTGGGCCCTGCCTCACAGGGCTGTGTTCCCCAGCTGTGAATTGAGAAGTCCCATAGGGCTTCCAGTTTAGAGAGCTTTATATCTCACTTAGCGTTAGTATGAAAACTGCTTTCAGTTTGCCTATGTAATCACTGTCTCATTTCAGAGATAAGCATTTTTGTCACAGGTATTCTTCAGTTACAAGATATCTTTATTTCGATCTAGAATGGGAAGGCACATAGAACTCATTGATTTAATAAAATGTGATCATAGTTTATAAAGAGTGTAAGATTTTTTTTGTTGTTGTTTGTTTTTTAATGATTTAAACTTGGAAACTCAAACCTTATTTGAATATTATTTCAAAATGCTTCTTTTGGCCCCATAGGGTGGCATAGTTAATTACTGTCAACAGGTATAAATATAATCTCTTTTTCTTCGAATGGTACTACTTTATGTAATAGGAATATAAGGCATTTCAGTCGTATTTTCCTCAAGAGACTCCTTAGATATTGATCAGTGGAATAAAGTGATTGAGCAGCTAGGAACACCGTCTGCAGATTTCATGAAGAAACTTCAGCCAACGGTGAGGAATTATGTAGAAAACCGACCAAAGTATCCTGGAATCAAATTTGAAGAACTCTTTCCAGATTGGATATTCCCATCAGAATCGGAACGAGATAAAATTAAAAGTAAGATAGCTTTTCTTGTTTTTATAATCTGGGTGAAGCATTCATTTTTTTATGTTTGTGTTCTAAAACTTGTGAATATTGGGAAATAAAATAGTTGAAACCCTCAATTAAAGCCATTTACAAGCTAGAGTGAAGGCATTGGGAAGAGAAAGCTTCAAGTTCAATTCAAAAGAAGCTCCTTCTCCCTTTTCTGTGTCCATCATTAAAATGTGATTTAAGGGAGAAGAAGAGATTTGTTTCTCCACATCAAGGTAAATTGCCTGTCAATCAGAAAAGCCCCATCTCTCTTTTGCCTATGGATGTCAACTTTAGTTGCCAAAACCTTGGTGAGCCTTGTATTTAAGTTATTGAAGGTTTGGGGGTTTTTTTTAGCTACTACTAATTTCTAGATTTTTTTATAAGTGTATGTTGACAACATTGTATACAGGTAGGCAAAGCAGAGGCATCTGGAAAGTGTCCTATCCTGTGAAAACGTGAGGTTATTGTGTGGCTTTGAAGGTCAGTTCTGGTTTCACTTTGGAATGACATCAGAAATACATGCTCACCTGTGCTTCGTGTCTGCACAGCGGGCAGTGCCACCGCTCAGCTCTGCGTCCTCCCTGCTGGAGGCTCCCTGGGGCTCTGTCTTCCTCTTCCAGACCTAGAGGCTGAAACCACTTTCAAAGCCTGATTTTGAGTGAAAGAGGCTGATAGTTTTAAGCTCTTGATCTTGAACCTATCAAAAAATTTTCAAAGTTAATACATTAAAAAAAACTTTATTGATTTTAGAGGGAGAGGAGGGGAGAGATAGAACATTGATGTGCATAGATCAGCTGCCTCCTGCACCTCCTCCTCAGGTGCATGTGACAACCAACTGAGCCACACCAGCCAGGCCCATTTTTGTTCTGTCTGTGCTGTCACAGTTAGTTCTTCATGGTGCAGTTTCAGATAAACAGCATTGGTTACTAATCTAATATTTGTATTTACTCTAGCAAGTCAAGCCAGAGATCTGTTATCCAAAATGTTAGTGATAGACCCTGACAAGCGAATCTCTGTGGATGAGGCTTTGCGTCACCCGTACATTACTGTGTGGTATGACCCCGCTGAAGCCGAAGCGGTAAGCAGCTCTCGTGAAGAGACATGTTCAGGGACTTAGTTTCCTAGGGTCTTCTGTCCAGTCTGCAGTGTCTGCATAAAGGGAGCAGGTCCTACATCAAGAGGATCACAGAGGCCATGTGATGGGCTCTTACACTCTTGGAGCACTTGTCACTGGGCTCTAGCTCAGAGTACTGAGGAAGGGAACATGCTTATGCTGCAGCCAGACTCATCTTGGATGTGGATGCTGGCGTGTGGTCATTGTATCGCCATTTTTAAGCTCCATGTGTACCTGGCATTGTGTCTTGTGCTTTGCTTACATCATCTTGTTTAGGCACCCAGCCAGGCTAAGGAACTTGCTGAAAATCACAAGTTTGTTTGTCCTTCCTGGGAGCACTGGCTAGAGGCCTCTGCTCTCAGCCGGTGCTGTGTGCCTGTTTCCACCCTGGGGGCGATCCTCAGCGGTGAGTGAAAGAAGCACGTAGTGGATGCTGATTGGGTGCCAGCATTGGAACTCATTTTTATGTCTTGGCCTTTGGATTTAACCTCCATTTTATTTTTATTTTTATGTATTATTTTTTTTAAAACCTCCATTTTAAACATTGTTTTATATTAAAAGAATCTGCTATATAAGCATGTGATTTTTAAGCAATTTTTGGATCAGTGCACTGATGGGTGGGGGTGGGATGGGGGTGGGAGTGACTGTTAATCTGGACTGTGTTCTCCCCCTTCTGTTTCCTACCAATGTGCCTTGTCCGGAGGGTCTCTAGGAAGTAGGCTTTGATGACTTGTTTTATAATTACACGAAAGGCCCAATGCATGAAGTCTATGCACCCAGAGAGTCGCTAGGCCTGGCCAGCGATCAGGGCCGATCAGGGTCTTCCAGCTGCCAGCTAGGGCCTTCCTTCCCCACTGCTGGCCGCCTGCCAGCCAGGGCCTTCCTTCATTCCATGCTTCCCCCTGGTGGTCAGTGCACATTATAGCAAGCTATCCAAGGGGAAACTTGCATATTAGGCTTTAAATACATACTAGAGGCCCGTTGCAGGAAGAGTCCTGCAAGGATAGAGCTTCCTGCGGCCTTCTCCGCCCCCCGCCTGCCTCTCTCCCTTCGCTTGCCTCTCTCCCTTCGCCTGCCTCTCTCCCTTCGCCTGCCTCTCTTCCTTCTCCGCGGCCCTGCCTGCTTCTGCCCCGCCTGCTTCCCTCCTGTCACTGCCTCCCTCTTGCTTCTCTGCAGCTTCAGTCCCTTCTGCAGCGCTTGGCTTACTTCTACACTGTCTTCAGTCTTTGCTCTGCGCCTGGATATGCAAATTTACCACCATCTTGGTTGTGTTGATTTGCATACTTGCTCCTGATTGGCTGTTGGGTGTGGCTTGTGGGTGTAGCAGAAGTACGATCAATTTGCATGTTTCTCTTTTATTAGATAGGATATAGATTTGAGCAGATAGCTTTAAAGTGTTTTGAGGTCTTGTGATTATAAAGAGGACAATAAGAGCTTTATTGGTTAGTGTTTTCTTAATTATTTTGATTCTTAAACTGATATAATATTTCACTTATGAAGAAATCTTTCATAAGCTATGTTTGAAAGAAATTACATTCATATCATAACTGTATTAGAAGTCCTCCAGTTATTCTACCCTTTTCTTAATGCCTCATTATTTTGTAAATTAATTGACTTTATGTGTAACTTAATTTTTAGCCACCACCTCAAATTTATGATGCTCAGTTAGAAGAAAGAGAACATGCGATTGAAGAATGGAAAGGTAATGGGGAGCTTATTTTGATCCATACTTATGACATTTCTTGAAGTCCTGTGAAGGGGCAGCTTCTCACCTGTCAATAATAGCCTTTGGAGGCAGGAACAAGAAACCCTACGGGCCATTACCCTCCCTCTTCCCCCTTCCCAGGAGAAAAGGAACTTGAAGGTAACAGAGGTATGGAGGAACATGTATGAATTGTGTATTAATGGCTTTAAAAGAGAAAAATAAGGGCTTTTTCACATGACCTTACATTATCAAATCCTGGTCTGTCAAATAAACGCACTAATTATATCATACCTTGATGACATGTTGCAAAATGTTGGGTAGCCCCAGTTTATAAACCCTGTAAAGCAGGCCTGGGAGACTTGAGATGGGGTCATTTGAATGTATGCTGAATTCATAAATCATGTGATTGTATATGTGTTTTAAAATAGAATTTGGGCAAAATAGCAGGTCACAAATATGCAGATAATTTTTATTCCACTATGAGATTAACCAAATAACTCACAACAAACTAAACCAGCAATAAAGAGACTGAACTAACGATTTTTTATTAAAAGTTAGAGTCACTAGTAATTGAGAATCATGGTTAGCACAAGTCAAAATAGGTGACGTGGGTGCCTCCCCAGGGAGCCCGGAGTCCCAGTGACCTGCGTGCACACGCACAGCAGGGCCTTACACAGCCACACTTTGTGGCGAAGGCAGGCTCATTTATTTCACGAATACTAAAATTTTAGAATTCCCTAATAGATTAATTAATGGTTAATTGTTTTTCTTACCAAGGAAAACCGAGTTGAAGCCAAGAAAAAAGTTAGGTATTTGGATTAATTTCTGGCCAGTCTGGAGGTGCTTCTAGCTCACAGGTGGATGCTGGTCCTGTCTGGAGAACCACAGTAATGACAAAGAAACACACAAACATGTGTGAGAGCATCCAACAGTTTAAATGTTCTGTGAGAGCCACTTTGCTAGCTTTGACTTTCTCTCTTGTTTATCTCTCTCTCTTTCTTGTCTACCCTGTCCTCTTTTTAAAACCTCCTCATGGATCCAGAACCACCTGCATTTCTGGTGCCTTAATAATTGGGTCAAAAAGATGTAATCTATCAAAACATGGATAGTTTGGTGTAGGTCGACTGTTTTTCTGAATTAACTGAACAGCACACTAATCATAACACATCACAGTGCCCTCGGAGTAGTTCCAGTTGGCCTGGAAGAGGGTTAAAAGCTCTAACCCTCTTCTGTTTGCAGAGCTAATTTACAAAGAAGTCATGGACTGGGAAGAGAGAAGCAAGAACGGTGTTGTCAAAGACCAGCCTTCAGGTTAGTCATTGCTTTAATAGTTGGATCACGTTTTTCCTTTCCCTGGTCAACTTCTACAGACGCAGGAGTGTATCACGTGCCAGTTTGACCAGCATTGGATTTGAAAATTCGTGTGTGCATTAGCCTCCCATCTGGGTTGTCCTGGGGCGGCAGCTAGCGTTAGACTGAGGAGCCAAGCAGTGAACGGCCTCAGTATAAACTTCTTGTCCCATTCTTGCCGCACTGCCTTCGGCTCCGTTTACAGATGAGGAAACTGAGTGTAAGGCCTTTTTAATGTACTGGCCCCACCCAGTAAAAAAGAAAACCAATGTGAATCTAATTAAAATGAATTTGGTTTTCTTTTGAGAAAATTTTTCATATGGCCTACCTAACAGCAGTAGGGAGAAGCCTAACAGCGAGGTAATTGTATGATCGCTAGAGATATAGCATGTGCTGTTCTTATGTCTGTGGGGTGCTACCTGTTTTTCTCACGGAAACTCTTTAGTTATAGAAATTTTCTCTCCCCACTTCTGTGGCTTTTGTGCACTACTTACCTCTTATTCCTGAATTTTATATTCAGCAAGACAAATGGTCAGGCATTTAGAGGTTGTGTAACTTCAGCATAAGGTTAGGTGCTTTTTGTTTAAGTAAGCCCAAATTTAAGACACTAACCTCTGAGAACCTGAATATGTTATTTTTGCTCAGACCAGACCAAAGTATGGATAGAAGCAAGAAGGATAATTTCATTTGCCTTAATATGTCAATTTTGGAGATATCTAAAACAAAAAATGAGCAAGAGGACACCACATTTCCCCCTTTCTTGCTGATTTGTTTTAGAAGATATTTTTATTGCAAAAGAATTATTCAAAGGCTGCTGCTTTTGTCCTTGGATCAAGTGTTTGCGATTATAAATGAAATGTCTGGTGGCATTTGAATCCTATTTGGGCTTAAGCCATTCGAGATACTGATAAGTTTTGGATACATTCAGCAATTTTCTTTAATATCCTTTTTAAACCAACAGGTATATTCATACATGAATACCTATATGATGCTTAGCCACTAGGAAAAAAAGGAGAATGTTGCAGGGAAAGGCAGGACTATTGGGATTCTGGGCCTAAAGAAAACTCTAGGAAAAGCTCAAAATGTACAGTCAACTAACTTCTCACTTATACTGACCGTTAGGGCAGGGCCCACGGGGACGAGCGCGGAGGGAGTGCGCCGTGGCGTGCCTCGGGTTTTATTGTGCTTGGTTTTCTTAGCACAGATGCAGCAGTAAGCAGCGACGCCACCCCTTCTCAGTCGTCATCTATCAATGACATTTCATCCATGTCCACCGAGCAGACGCTGGCCTCAGACACAGACAGCAGCCTCGAGGCCTCCACAGGACCCCTTGAAGGTTGTCGATGATGAGTTCGAAATAGCAAGCTTGTTGTCAGTGAGGAACTCTCGCTCCCACGGGCCTGAAATGCCTGGGAGTTGAAGGAACCAAATAGAAAAGTCCATGTTCTGCATGTAAGAGACATGATGCCTTGCCCCTGCGCAGGCCTGGTAGCAGTGCCTGCCTCGGTGATAGGGAAGCAGGTCTGCCTGAAGAAAGCAGTGACGCCACACTTTCAGAGATTTTGTTCAAGGTCATTTCAGGCGAGCAATTAGAATGAATGAATTTGTTTCTTTAATTGTACGGTAATTCTAGTGACGATTTCTCATCCTCAGTAACTGTTGGGATTTATATGCATGTGACCACAGTGCTTGCTCTGACTTGCCATCTAGAACTTTGGAAATCAATATTTAAATGCCAAATAGTCTTCCAGGTAGTGCTGTTTCTAGACTCACCTCTTAATCTTAAGTACTTTGGTGTCTGTGCAGAAAAAAATAGACTTATGTTATTAATTGGCCACCATGATATTATCATATATCACCTTCTTTTATGGTATGATTTATTCTATCTTTTGTATTTCAGAGGAAACATAATTAAATCTATTTAATAAATAAAAAATAGAACTTAAAAAACATTGTCATGTTTGGGGCTGAGAATTCTCTGCTAAAACACTCACATGCACATTAGTCTGGTGGCTGCACATTCAGTTTCACTGCATGACAAAGCTCCAAGTTGTATCTTGTGCTGCTTAGACATCTATACCTTTAAAATCTTGTCGAGCCTCTTTTTTTCTTGGTCTTACGAACTTACTATTAGTTTAAAATGCTACCTAGAAATTCACAATCTTTATTAGCCCCTAACAGTCCATTTCAATAATGTGATGGCACCTGACTCCTTGAATCTATTACTGCCTTTAGAGTAGGTTTTCCGAAGCACCACCGCGGGCATCACAGGCACTTACTGAGGGCTCGCTCTGCCCGCAGCAAGATGGGTCCCTTCTTCACGTTCAAGGTGAACGTGACTTCGAAGGCAGGTTCCCTTTTCCAGCACCGCAGGCCCACGGGGCTTCTTCCTGAGAGAAGCTCATTAGTCTCCCCGCGGCCTGTGTGAGGAGCCAGGCGCTGTCCAGCGCCTGCCGGCGGTTTCCCGCCTCGCGGTGGCATCTGCTCCCCGGGGACATGGTGCGTGTTCTGGGAAAACTGCAGAGGGGGTGGAGGAGACCCTGAGAGGAGTGGTTAACTATTGAATATTTCCTGACTTAACTGCTCACCTGAAATGAATACTTTCAGACGTCTGCATGTGGAAATTATTCAGAATTCACTGAGATGCTGAGTATTGCAGTGTCACTGTGGAAATGGAGCTACCGACGGTCGGGTTTAGGCTGCCTGTGTGCATAATGCTTTGCCCCGAGCTTATTCTGTACAGATTCCTGTCTCCAGTTCAATTATTTTGGAAGCTGTTGGGTCAACATTCTATGGAATTATTCTGAGGAGGAACTTATTATAAATATTACCTACATTTGATTTTCTCTGCACCAGTTGTATTTTATTGGTTGGTATTATTACTGGAAAGTAGAACCTTTGATGAGCAAATTTAATATTGAAATCAGTTTTATTTTCTGAGATTTAGACACACACAAGTACAAGATGGAAGTACTAACTTGGACTGAAGCAAAACACCTTTTGTGGGGCTTGGGGTGATTTTTGCTTTTGGAGGCCTAATGGTAGAGTGAAGACAGTTATCACTGTACCTGTAAAAGCATCTTAAAATGCCTTCTCTCTAATCTACATTCTTTTAAAAGCTTTACTGAAGGCAGTCCGCTTAACCAGGCATCCCACAGATGGACTTCCGGCTCACGTATTGCTTTGTGTTCCCGGATGGAACCCACATTGTGCCAAGCCCCCTTCCATCAGGTAGTGGGGAGTGCACGTAGGACAGGCCACAGGTTGCAGACTGCAGAGCTTACAGGAATACCTCACCCCCTGTGGGTCCCCTCCGAGGGAGGTGTGCCAGGGCCTGGTGCAATGCCAGAGTTTCACACTGGTCGCTATGGATGAATGCTGATAAGAACTGAAAATGTGCTCAACTTTTTGTCGTCTCTATTTTATTTTTGTAATTTATATTGTACACAACCCTGGAAGTAACTATTTTGGACACATATTTTTATAAACCAAGTAATTTGTTGTTAGCCTGGAATTTGGACTAGGTTTGTTTTGTTTGTTTTCAGTCAAAACCAAAATGACTGCCTCCCCTTGTCAGGTCTTGATATCAAGTGCAGGTTCCAGAGAGCAGAGTCTGTCCGAGCAGGAGAGCATTCTAGAAGCACACGCTGCTCAGTGCTGACCAGCTGTGGTCTGGAGATGCTAGTGTGGCTCTGTTCTTACCTTTGGGATGCAAACTCAGAGCCACAGTGCTGAGGGAGAAACCTTCAGCAGGGCCTTGCAGCCGCCAGAGTCCCTTGTGGAAAGGTTGAGTGGGATGCTGCTTTCCGGATTTGATGCTGTATCAGTCGTGGTAAGGATTACGAGGTCTTCTGCTTGTTGCTAATGTAAAGCCTCTGATGTTTCATATTGGTAGTAAATACAGGTGTGACCTCTCAGATTGCATATCTCCAAAGTAATATTGCCTAATGTTTTATAATAAAATATGTGTTTTGATTGGTGAAAATAATACAGATACGTTTTAAAAGAGGAGTGTATAGCATGTTCAATTTTTGTGTGTTTTTAAGTGACAATTGACTGTGTATTTCTACATCACCATCTCTGATTACAGATTTAAAGTAAACACAGGTGGATGTTGAAGTGTCGTCATTTCATTCAACACTAGCAAATGTTTTTAAATTGAAAGAGAAAACATTTCTGTTAGATCACTTGCTGAAAATATCCTGCAAATTCCTGAATCTGTTTTCAAAACTATGTGGTACAAAATCAATTATTCAGAGCCGTGGTGTGATTGTCTGCTCATAGGTGTGGCCAGGGTACTCTACCAGCTGGTCTGCCCTTGTATCAATCACACCATGTCCCGATGGCACCCATGTGCTGTGGTTTGTGCACAGGATGAGCCCTTGGGTTTGAGTCACTTCAGTTGTTCTCAACTTAAAGACAGCAGGAGTAGAAGGGCCCTCAATGGCTCACTTCTTTCTCTGCCATTTCAGAGAGATGAGGATCAGTCTTATTTTTAAAGTCGTATTTTCCTCTGGAGAAGGAAAACATTTCTCTTGATGTTGGTCTGGGTTCCATTTCTCTATCTTACCACCTTGCCATTTTAATGTAGACAATACTGGAATACTTTTTATTAATTGACAAATGGCACATGGTGGTAGGTGGGGAAGAGGCAATATTTCAAAATAACGACTTCGTCATGAAGATTCATTCTGTGCCTCCTTGTGCAACTTTGAGCATAAGGTTATCTTTGACAGTAAGGCAGGTTTTTTATATGTTTTGTTTTTAGTCAGGAAAGTTGGTAACTAAATTAGTGATAACAGTGACAGTGTGGCCAGTCATGTCCCTTTGAGTCTTTACATGGCCATGATTAAGATGTACCTGTCAAGCCATTGGAACTTGTCATTCGCTGTGTCCTAAGGCTCAGGGCCATACACGCCTTCATTGTTTGAAAGATCAAGGCTTTGGGGGCCAGGATCCTGTGAGCAAGGGTGTTTGCAACCACAGTTTCTCTGTCTTGGTGCTTTAGAGTTGGAGACCATTCAGAATCAGCTTTCTAACTCCCAACCCCTACCCCTCACAACAGTGAGAATGTTGCAGCCCCAGAGAAGGGGATGCAGGTATGCCCTGAATATAGATCTCAATCTTTTAATCATAAACACCTCTGAGATGTGGATGTAAACTTAGACCCTCTCCTCACACAAGTGCCATGAGCACAGAATTTTGCCAAGTTTTCCAAGAATCCTGGTGGATGCTGTGGTAAGAGCTCCTTTCTAGGAGCAGGTGCTAGACACTGAGTTCTTAATGGGAAGCAGAGCGGCAAGAGGGTTCTGGGCTTTTCTGCTTCTCCTGCCTCTGACACTGTGCACATAGATCTTGGGTGTATATAGGGACACACTCACTCTGATTTCCAGCACCAGTCAGTGTTCTTGCTAAGTGCCAAAAGGAGAACATAGGGGTTTAGCTGCAGTGAAATGAACACAGTGCATGATGAAAGGGAGAAGCTGGAGTCTTGTGATACAGACTCATGGAAACATAGAAGTTGTGATGTACAAGTAATGAAATAAGCTTGACTTAACTCCATATTTTAAATAGTTGATTCTCCAATAATATTCTCTCCCCTCCTCTTACAACTTCACTGTATCTTTCTTAGAATTTTTATAAGTGTGCTTTAAAATAATTATATTTACACACCTAGATGTCATATGTGTAGAGAAAAGGCAGGGAATTTCTCTGGTTCACACCGCCATTCAGAGCAGGGATCAATCTGGAGGGCTCACCTAGCCTCTACTTAGATGATTTTAATCAGGGAATACTGTTCCTACTGATTTTTTGTTTGTTTGTAGTTTTGACTGTTAGAAATTTCTTTCTTAAAATGAACTGAAATCTGTCTCCCATGGGTCATAGGCATTTCCTTTGTGTGAAAGAGTGAGTTACACCCATCTGATGAGAGGCTTTAAGATGTTAGTTGGAAAGATAAGCTCCAAGTCTTCTGGTTTCCAACCCGCTGATGAAAAAGCCCCCAGAGTCTCTCCACTTATGTGTACTCTAAAGAAAACTTGAGTAGTGCCCAGACAAGAAAAAGTTAAAGGACTCCATCAGCACTAAATCAGCATTATAGGAAGTGTTAAAGGAACTTACTGAAAAAGAAGAAGAGGAAGAATAAGAACAGGAAGGGGAGGGAGGAAGAAATATAAAAATATGAATAATAAAATGGTAATTACCTACCTATCAATT